GTGACTGGGGCAGCAGTTTCAGCATCGCAGCGGTGAGCCCGGGTGCTGCCCTGGCTCCCTGGCATCAGGGTGGCCACGCCAGCCCGGCCTCCACCCGGAGCCTGCGGGTCCTGGGGCTGTTTGCTGATCCCTGTTTGCCGAGGGGGTGAGGCTGCCGTGTGTGCTGCTGGCTGAGCTGGCAGCTGCTGTACAGACGCTGTACACGGAAGCAGCAGCTCCTCTTCCCAGCATGAATTTACAATGACTCCCTCAACATCAGGGCTGCTGAAAAAATGTAGCTTTGAAGGCCTGGGCAGGCATTCATTGTATTTCTGGCATGAAAACTCACCCAACTTGTTTGTTTCTGGAAGAAGCCAGTAGTCGGGCTGTTTGTGTTCTCTTTAGGAAGGTGCCCAGAGTTGTGGCTGGGAACAGCTGCTCTGCAGCTCATCTCTGCCAGTGGGAAGGTAAAGGAGGGGCTGCAGCAGCCCCGGGACTGCTCCAGTGGGACGTGGTTGGTGCTGCAGGAGCCAGGGACCAGGGGTGCCACACGCTGCTGGGGTGCTGTTCGCTGCAAGTGCAGCAACCATAGGGCTGGGGCTTACTGCTACAGTTTATAAAGCACAGCACCTCCCAGCAGCTGTTAGGAGATGGGATTCTGCCCTTGTCCTATGCAGGTGGTGCTGGGAGAATGAGCAGATTTAATACACTGGTGCAAGGAAATAAATTATTTTCCCTCCCAATCTTGTCTCACTGGGGATGAGACAGGCCTGGGGTTCCTCCCGCAGCCAGCTGCTGTGATGTGCTGAGCATGGGGGCTGTGGAGCTGCCTGAGGTGGCCTTGGCCATGAGGGCTTGTCCCCAAGCCTGACTTTGCTCCCTAAAGACAGCATTTCTGTCCATAGTGCCTCAAAACTGGTGCTGTCACTGTCCCAGAAACGCTGCTCTTCATATCCACTCTGGATGGAAACCTTCACGCAGTGAGTAAGAGCACAGGAGACATCAAGTGGACCCTGAAGGATGGTGAGTAGCAACTCAGGGTGCTCCCTGGGTTGGCCCCAACCAGGGGCCAGGGTTGCAGCCCCAGCCCCAAGCACAGCTGTGCACAGGGCAGAGCATGGGGGGTGCAGACCCCCACTGCCAGCCATGTCTATTCTGGGTCTGAAATGCAAATGGGCTGTGTCCATGGGCACAGCCACACATGGCTGCACTTTGCAAACACTGCCACGTTGTCCCTGCTCATGGGGAGGGGCTGCTGACGTCTGCCTTTCGCTCTCTTTTTCAGATCCTATTCTGCAGGTGCCGGTTTATGTGGCAGAGTGAGTGTCACCCCCCGTGGGCACGTCCCCTGGGCAGGGCAGGCAGCCTGTGCCTTTCTGAGGAGCACAGCTGGCCTCATCAACCAGTGGATCCACAGCAAGAAAGAGGAACCTCAGAGAAATGAAACTGCCAGCCTGTGCCCTACGCTGCTTAAACCCCCTTTGTACTAGCACCTTGCATGTGGTGACGAGGAGCAGCTACTCCCCACTGCTGAATTGTATCCCAGAAGTTCTCGGCAGCACCACACACAAAAGCATAGGGGGGAAATGGAGGAAAGTGCACCTGGAAGTGCCAGGGAAGGCAGGGGAGTGGGGGGGTTCCCTGGGTGGGCAGGACAGCAGGGCAGCATGGCTGGCAGGCACAGGGCAACTGTGTGGAGCTACAGCACTGACCCAGGGTGGGAATTCATCTCCTATCAAATCCGGTGCTGGAGGGTTCTAGGAAAGGTTAAGCCTGGAGTGAATCACCCTGGAGCAAACTGCTAAAGTGGTTCCTTTAGTGCAGTTCCTTTAGTGCATGTGCCCAGGGCAGGGAGCTGCTCCTGTTTCATCTTCTTCTCTCCTTTCCAGACCAGCATTCCTTCCAGACCCCAATGATGGCAGCCTGTATATCCTGGGAGGAAAGAACAAAGAAGGCTTGATGGTGAGGGGGGCTGTGGGGGCTGTGTGCATTCCACCTGCCCACCCCTCCTGGGGTTCTCAGATCTGGGGGACTGGGCAGACCTGCCAAACAGGGCAGGCTGGAGCCTTTGGATATTCCAGCTTGTCCTTGGCGCCTGGAGGATGTCAGCCAAGAGTGTGAGGGCAAATCCAGCTGGGAACCTTTCCTTCCCTCTGGTCATCTTGCTTTGGGGCTGAGCAGTGAAGGCCAGTGAGGACAAGGGCGCTGTCCCAGGGATCTCTCCTTCCCACCCTGCTCTGAAAGGCGGGAAGGCTGCTGCTCAGGGAGGTGTTTCTCTGGCCCCACATCCACGCTGCTGTCTGTGTTGCAGAAGCTGCCGTTCACCATCCCAGAGCTGGTGCAGTCCTCGCCGTGCCGCAGCTCGGACGGGGTGCTCTACACCGGTATGTGGGCAGTGGCCACGCGGGGCCATGGGGAGGAGAGCCTGAGCAGGACCTCCCAGCAGTGTGTCCGTGGAGGGGAGACAAGGCGGAGCCTTGGGGACAGCAGGATGGCAGGAAGTTACAGAAAATGTATTTTCTTGCTCAGGGAAGAAGCAGGACACCTGGTTCATCGTGGACCCCAAGTCAGGAGAGAAGCAGACCACGCTCTCGACTGAGGCCTGGGATGGGCTGTGCCCGTCCAGTCCCCTGCTCTACATTGGCCGTACCCGTAAGCCAGTCCTGCTCCCATCCGTCTGTCCCTCCACCCCCAGGAGCAGGGTGCTGGGCAGTGACCTCGTGCCCTGCTCTCCTCCCCAGAGTACGTCATCACCATGTACGACACCAAGTCCCGGGAGCTGCGCTGGAATGCCACCTTCTCTGAATACTCGGCGCCGCTCTGTGAGGAGTCCTACCCCTACAGTGAGTGTCCCCCAGGAGCCAGCGTCCCAGCCCCCCACTTGCAGGGGACCTGGCCATGCCAGACCCTGTGGTGACACCACCATGGCCAGCAGGTCTCAGCTTGCTGGGAATGATGGCTTTTGCACCTGCTGGGGCTCTCCTGGGAGTACCGCAGCAGGACTGAGGGGGTGGAGGGGGAAAAAGCCCCCCAGCCAGCCCTCCTGCATCGCTCCTCTCCCTCTGGCTGCCCAGAAATGGCACACTTTGCCTCCAGCGGGGACGGGCTGGTGGTGACAGTGGACAAGGAGAGCGGGGAGGTCCTGTGGGCGCAGAACTACGGCTCGCCTGTGGTTGGCATCTACGTGTGGCACCAGGACAGCCTCCGCCGAGTCCCCCACCTCAACCTGGCCATGGAGACCCTGCGCTACCTGACCTTCCACTCACAGGACATCCACCTTCTCAAGTGGAGCTACCAGTCTGTGAAGGACTTCGCTGCCACCAAGACCCAGCTGCTGTAGGTGGTTCCTGTGCTGTGGCAGCTGGTAGCATTTGGGTTGCCTGTTCTCCGTGACGGATGGAGGGCTGATGCCTGTCCCTGCCTTGCAGGCCGGCACTCTACGTGGGGAAATATGCAACCAGCTTCTATGCCCTGACCTCCCTGGTCCACAGCAGCGTGGCTCTGGTGGTGAGTCTCTGCCAGGGTGAGCTGCACTGGGAGCAGACCCCAGCTGCACGGTGCCCCATGAGCTGCCGGCTTCCAGCCACAGGGAATCACACTGGCCAGGATCGATGGCCCCACCACTGAGGATGTGACCGTGAGAGAGTCAGGGGAGTGTGAGATCACGCCCAGCACTGATGTCAAGTACCCCCAGGGCAGCATCACCTCACTACACAACCAGTGGCTCCTAATAGGTACAGACCCATGAGGACACAGGCTTTCCCTCTGTCCCCACTCCCAGGCTGGGTGCCTGGGGAGGGGCAGCCCCAGCCACTGTCAAGTTTTGGGGTGCCAGCTTGACCTGCTCTGCTCAGCAGGGTAAAAAGGATGAGACTGTGACTCATGATGGCTGTGGCAGATGCAGTGGCTGCCTTGGCACGTTTGGAAATCCGTGGTGTCTGGGGGTGGTGGCAAGGGGGCACAGAGGAGCAGGGTCACCTCCCATGCATGCTCTCTGCCTTGCCCCAGTGGCTGCTGCTGCTCCAGATCCCTCTCTGGGGACAGACCGGGCAGGGTGTATCTGTGATGTTGCTTGTGCCTCCCATGAGAAGTGACACCCCTTCATCAGGGAACACCCTGTCCAGCGAGCCCATGTTGGTGCTGGGGAGGTGAAGGAGGGGTGCTGTGACCAGTGACCAGCTGATGGCTGTCTCTGTCCTCCTGTGGCAGGGCACCATGAGCTGCCTCCCGTGGTCCACACTACGATGCTGCGAGCCTTCCCAGAGAACTTGAGGAAGACAACGGAAACCATCATCCCAAGGGCTCCTCCTGCCAGAACTGTGTTCGATGATGTGAGTGCTAGAGCTTTGCAAGGTCCTACCTGCATGTTGGGGGGCTGTGTTGGGTTGCTGAAAGGGCTGGGGCTGGGCGACGGGTCAGCCCATGGGTCTGCATGCCCTGCATGCCCATGGGTCTGTCCCTCGGGTGTCACCCAGCCCTGGACATATGTTGCAGTTCCTGGCCCCAAGCGGCCTGGAGGAGCCTGCTCTCCGCAATGAGGGGCAGTTCCAGCCAGACCCTGTGCCAGGGGAGCAGGTGGAGGTGTACCCTGAAGCCAGCGTCTGGGACCTGCTGGTGGCTGGTGTGGGCACAGCACTGCTGGGCGGGGGTGTCCTCTTCCTCCTGCTGATGGTGAGTGGGGTCTCTTAAAGAGCCCTTCTTCTGCAGAAAGGCCACTTCTGAAGGGCTGGGGACTCCCTGCTCCCCTGTGGGTGTGAGTGGTGGTCTGTGGCTGCCAGCAGCCCCCTGCTGTCCCCCAGCACCCATGAGGAGCCACCGTGGTGCTGGGACCAGGGGGTTGCATGGTGTGGCCTGGCCTTGGAGCTGAGCACTCCCGTGGTTTGTGTTCCAGAAACTGCAGCAGCAGCACAGGGTGCAGCAGCAACAGCAGCTGGAGCAGCAGATCCAGCTCCTCCAACAGCAGCAGGAGCTGCTGCTG